AGGTGATTTGAACTAAAAATGGAGATTTTTTAAAAATACTTTCCCCCTTTAAAAAACAGAAAAAAAAAAAATAAAAACCCCAAACAAAACAAAATCCCGCACCACTAACACACACAAAAAAAAAAGGGGGAAAAAAAAAAAAAAAAAGCAGCAGCTGCAGCAGCAGCGACAGTGTCTTTCTCCCCCCCTCCCCGCCCGCCCCCACACTCTATCTCTGACTCTCTCGAAACTTCAGCCCCCAAAGTTCAGCCCGAGCAGTAGGGAGAAAGAAAGAGAAAGAGCTTTCAGCGGAGAGCTGGAAGTGATGGGAGGAGGGACCCAGGTTCGGGTCAGAGCCTCCACAGGTTGGTTTGTTGTTGTTGGGATCTTTGGCTGGGGAAGGGGAGGCGGCGGGGGGAGGCTGCGAGCGGGTCCGAGAGGGCAGCGCTGCTTCTTTCTAACCCCGCGCTCACGGGCGAGGGCGGCAGGCAGGGAGGCCGAGGGGGTTATTTTTTCACACACACACCCCCGACTGCTCTTTCCCCTTCCCTCTGCCTGCTCCCTCCCCCGCAAACTTGCTGTGCCAGGCGGGGGCCGCGGCAGAGGCCGCCCGCGCCCAGCTGTCAAAAACACCCAGCGACCGCCGCCAACTTTGTGGCGAGGGCGGCCGGCGGCGCCGCGCGGGGCTGCCGCGCCTCTGCCTCCTCTGCCCCCTTTCGCCTTCCCGTCCTCCGCCCTGCTGCTCCTCGAGCGGCTGCAGTCCCTCCCGCTGCTTCTCCTCTTCCTTATCGGCTCCAGGCGCTGCTGGAGCGAGCGAGAGGGAAGGCGGCAATGCGAAAGAAAGCTGGAGGGAGGGCTGAGAGGGGGCAGAGAGACGGCGGAAAATGGAGCGTAGCCCAGAGGAGGGGGTAAGGAGCCGGAGGGGAAGAGGGAAGAGCGTTAGAAAGGAAGGGAAAAGTTAGGCGAAGTTTTCGCTCGTGGTGCCGGTTTCCCGCTTCCCACCCATTGCTCCATCAGCTCCCAGGGCTCTGCGGCGGCGGCGGCAGCTGCTGCTCGGTGTGGGATCTGAGGAAATATTTTGTAAAAGGGTGGGATTTTTTGTGGGGGGGGTAAGGGAGGCGGGAGGAGGTGAGCCGTCACGGTTGTACGTTCGCAGGGAACAGACAAGAGTCACATCTGTGTGTGACAAGGAGCCAAACCGAGCGAAACCCTGCCCCGGCGGCGCCGTGGCAGCGCAGCCGCCGCCGCGGCCCTGGCTGGGCGCGCAGGCACACGCGCACGGAGCCAGCGCTGGCGCGGGGCAGCGCACTGCCGAGCGCCGGCCCCCGCTGCCCCCTGCGGAACTCTCCCTTACCGCTTCGAAGCGCCGCTCTCCGCGCCAGCCCCGCCGGCGGCGCCGAGGGGGTGGCAGGGCCGGCCCGCGTCGCGCTGCTCGGTCGGGGAAGGTGGCTGAGGGCTGTCGGGCTTCACCTGCGGGGCCGGGCAGCCCGGCCCGGCTGTCCCTCGCGTCCGGCCCGAGAAGGCGCTGAGGGTCAGCAGTGCGGTCAAAAGCGGCTCCCCTCGTCAGGCGCCGTGTAAACACGAGGTTTATACACGAGGTTTAAACACGGCCGGACCGTTAAAAAGTGAACATGGGGAGAACTTTCCAGGCAGTGTGAAACACAGATAGAACATTTTGCTCCCTTTTGGTGTAGCTGGACACTCAGATGACCTAGCAGGAACTGAGAAAAATTGAGAGAAGACGGGAGGTAGCCGTCTGCGCTCCTGATTTTTCCTGCATCTGCTATGGACTGAACTCACAGTAAGCTTGCTGTAATGAACGGCATGTCCCCGGGAATTGCCAACTTCCCAAGCTTGTTACCATATTTTGTCGTCTTTGTTACTTATGCATTTCCTATGGTTGTCAGAAGAGAGAAGGGTAAATTATCTGGACTAGTATCAAAACTAGTTTTTCATAAAACCCGATATAATATATCTCAGTGTCTGTTTTCATGAAAAATTATTTCTGTTTTATGGGTATTTGCCGGATACCTTGATTAGGCATAATACGTATCAGTTTATGGACAGGTTTGCAGTGACCACACTTCATCAGGATTAGTTTTGATGTTTGAAGGCATGTTTCAGGCTCTAAGCGACGATTCACAAGGATTTTGTGTTCATCAGGATTTGGGTTTTTTTTATATAAATACCATGACCAATGAAGATTTCAAGTAATTTGAGTTCTTTAAAAAAAAATAAATAAAAATCACGGGACTAATTAAGCCTTGACTTGGTGCGTTTTCTGTCAAAGGGGAAAGATAAGAGAAACCTTGTTAATTATTTCAAAGTCACATTTTATCGTACATAAAAACGCATTTGCCCTTTTGAACCAACGAGGGCCAAGAAGTTGCCAAAAACTTGTGTTCACACAGCCCCCTCGTGGTCAAAGCCTTCAGAGTCTCACAACCACCTCTACTCACAGGAAGGAGGGAAGGGTCAAAGCAGGCTGATGCAAATTAAAGTGCTGCAACCTTGGCTCGCAAAAGGCATGGTCACCTGCTGGAATAAAGACATGCCATGCCCATTACAAGGCTAATCTTCACTGTGCAGTTTCCCCAAAGTGAGTAAAAGATTATAAATGGTTACAGCTTTATGAAAGTATTATAATAGGTAGATGGCCATTCGACTAAATTTAAAATTAGATTTCCTTACTACTTTGGAATTGTATTTTTTTTAACTGGAGTTAGGCATTTGAAGGATATATTTCTATATCCACTAAATTCGTAGTTTACATTTATAATAGCCTGTATCAATAAAAATTTTATCTGAGCTCTGATCTGTCATTTCAAAGAACTTCTAAGTGTAGCACAATCATTAATAGCTTCCAGTTACATTATTTTTAAAGACTCTAAGTAATTTTATATGGAAACTAATAAAGGTTTATGGAGTTACTCTTTTGTTATCTTGCTTGATATTTGATTCAGCATTTTTAAACCTTTTTTTTTTCTTCCACCTGTCAATAAGCCAATGTCTTTTGTATTGGCAGTATATTACAGCCTCTTGAAAGCTGATGAGGAGGTAAAATGACTGGAGGCAAGCCAGCTGTTGGGAATTCTGATTCATGGGCTGACAGTATGGGGTTACAGGATAAACATTGTGGGGTAAGATACTTCTGCTTATAGGATCAGTAACAAAATAACTAACTGGTGGAATTTGAATACATAACATCATTAGTCTTCAGACTGAACAAGCTCCAAGTTTTTCTGAAATTTCGCATCTTTCAAAGTCATGCTTTCAGTCACATATACAATAGTGTATTAAATTACCCTTGAGTTCTTGTTTTGAAGTTTGTCTACTGTGTAGTATATTCTGAGATAAAACTGAGAAGATAGAGCCTGCATTAGAATACTATCCACATGCACAGTACCTTTTATTTCTTCATAGTGCTCAGTGACTGTGAAATCAGCACACTGCTGATATTGTGGGAAATGATGACAACAGACCTTTACTTGCAGTTCAGTGTCAAAAGACAGCGTACAGACTCATGGTGTATCACAGGACTGTCTTATGACCTCTCAACGTGTGCAATTACCTTACATTTTGAATATTAAATGCAAGGTTTCAGAGAGTAAGTGCAAGGCATAAACTTTGCTTTGCTTCTTAGTCTAATGATATTTTTAATGAAGAAAATAGTGTCTTTAACAATTTCAGCCTCATCAACAGAGATATAAAGACAGCAAGTCTTTCTCACTGTAATTTTCCTTTAAAACCAGATATGACCACCATAAAAATTAGTAGTTCTCCTTGTTTGAGATTCATTAGTGTGAACAAAGCTAGAAAGTAAAATAATTTTCTTCAGGGTTTTTTGTGTTTGTTTCTTTGGGTTTTGGGGAGACTTTTGGGTTTGGGGAGAGCTTTTTCTTTTGGTTGGTTTGGTTTTTTTGCTTTTGGGGTTTTTCTTTGTTAGTTTGTTGTTTTTGTTTTTCACTGATTGGAGCACGAAGCTATTAGAGTCTGAGTAGTAACTGCAACTTGAGAAGAATGGAACCATAATTCATCCAAATTGTGATGGTTCCAGAGTGTGGTATTGCTCTGGTGTCTTGATCATATTTCCCACAGAAGGAATTTATGCTTCCTTTGAATCTTGTCCATTTTGCAGACCTGGAGGTGTGAGGTGTGGTCCAGAGGATTTTCTCACAGAGCAAAGAGAGGTGAGGTGGGACATAAGGCACCAGTCCTGAAAGGTACCAAACTGAAATCTCCCATATTCTGATGGGTGACAAGGTAGGACAGAACACTTCTAGAGAATGGTATAATTGAAATGTAAATGAAAAAAGAATTTACTGGTAGAAAAAAATCCCCAACAGAGAAATTATTCCCAGTCCTGAAAATGAGACCTGTTTTCTGTAATCCACAATTTGTACTGGGGCAAACAATCCATTCCATCAATATTTTGGACCAATGCCATCATGAAGTCCAAGTGTGATTATACTTTTTATTTAGGAATATGGCTGTACCATCCTTATACATACTGAATATTTGTTTTAAGTTTCTATGCTAAGTGTTACTTACAACAGCTGGCCTGCCTTCTCGCATGACTTACAAAAGATAGGCTCCCACTTTCTATTAGAAATTATTCTTTTCCATTTTTTTCTTTTAATTTTTTCCTTTTTTTATGCACTTTTGTTTGATTTTTATGCTAGTTTATCACATTATATTTGGGAGAACTTTAACCACTGCCAATAATCTGATTAGGAGAGAATATCTGACCACTTATTATAAAAAAAGGTCTAAAGGCTTCTTAGTCAAACTGTAATTTCCTGATGGAATTTGAAGTTTGACCTTATATTGGCAGAATATCAAGGATGCTGCTTCTGAAGGGGTTCACCTAAACATAGCTCTGATCCACAGCAGTCTGAGACAAGATGTGGAAAACTAGTGACTAACTGTAAGCATTTGGTTTAAAGTCAGTTTCACAGGGTCACAGAGGAGCTTAGAAACAGGAGTAGAATCTAGGTCTCCAGAATGAAGTTTAACTGCTTCATCTGCTTCAGCCATAGTTCTGTCTTTCTGTCTTGTTCATCATACCTTAAAATTTTAGCAGTAAATTAAGTGTGAATATTAGGAAAGAAGCTCCATTCATTATATAGGTAGTCTGTTTAGAGAATGTTATAGTTTCTCTGTACTTGATAGAGACACATGTCCAGGAAGAAAACAGTACACGAGCATACAATTTCAGATGCTGTATACTCATCACATGAAAGGGCTGAAGTAATATTGTGTACACCCTTGTAATGATAGTATTTCTTAACTTCTGAACATATAACTTTCTAACCCATTCTAGCCGGCTTTCAAAATTCAGTGTTAAACTCATGAAATTATGTCAAATAAGCATATTGATACTGTAGTGTTTTGAGTCAAAACGTATTATTGTCATGGAAGAAGTGAAGTAAGAATAGCTAGTAATGTTTTCTTTGCCTCTTGCACTTAAATATCAAAGACTATTCAAAACTTTTCCAGCACTTTAATGTTGTTAAGTCCTCCCAGTCATAATGGTGATTTTGGGGAATGAAGAAAACGTTGTCTGCAACATAGCCATCTTTTTTTTCTTTTTGCACCACATCCTCTGTACCAAATATTTTCTAACACTTTTTTGGAGATTGCTAACACAGTTTGATTTATCCTAAACTTTCCCCAAAACATTAGCAGTTTTGCTTTAAGACAAATGTGCTTCCAGGACTCTGTGAGCTCAGCTGAAAGAATATATATTAAAAGCAATAGGTATAGATATTATTTTGTAGTTCTACAGCAGTTTTTGTAAGGGACGCTAGAAGATTTTAAACATAGGAAAGAAACAAAACTATTCAACTGTAGAGATGAAAGGAATATCATGTAGTAAGTTTCAGCAAATCACTTATAGTAGTAAAAAAAGTAAAAATAAATGTTTTGGATCTATTTGGTAGTTCTATCATTCTTTCTCCAATAAAAATACATATGTTTAAATTTAAGAGCTCTCTAGATTGAAGTTTGTCTTTCTGTGTTGTCACTTCCAATCTTTGTCCATCAAAATTGTTTTCTATAACTTAGTAATTGCTAGTCAGAGACCACACGTAGTGTTCTATATGCATTCTGGAATGTTTCAGCTTATCTCATATAACACTTGAGAGTATTTTTCCCAAGTGAATCTCAATGTTTTTCAGTTCTCTTAGTGTTTTACCATTTATTTTGCTTATATTACACCAGTCAAAAATTATTGCCTTGGAGAGTGAGTTGTGTGCACGATGGGAAAGTCCCTCTTTTTTTTTCTTGTCTAGTTTACTGCTTTTGTCTTGAAATCTAATTGTTTATGGGATTTTACTTATTTCATCCTGGTACCTTACAGTGAGTATTTTTGCGCTTAGCGTGATCTCATAAATTAGTTTTAACAAATAAAATGCCCCAGTCAGAACTAATAGTGACTGGTGGCTCAGTAACTTAAAAACAACAGAAATGTCAAATATTGTATGGCAGGGCAAATCACAAAATCTTTCATGTCTAGTATTGAAAGATT